ATCTTAAAGGAGAACTATGGGGTTAAGGCTTTTCCCCATAGTTCTCCTTAGGGTAACGGGAGGACACAAACTAGCGTCCTCCCGTCACCCTAGGCTCAGTATACGGCGAGGTACAGCTCGCGGTATACTGAGACGCCGCAGCTGAAGCGGATCCCGACAATTGTGCCGGGATCCGCCCAGCTGCGTGAGTGACAGCTGGCTCTGCCTATCTAGAGGCAGAGCCAGCTGTACCCGCCCCCGTCCGATCCGCCAGTCAGCGCTGGCGGATCGGAGCGGGGAGGGGGGAATCCAGCCCCTCCCCTGTCACGGCAGAGAGCCGTGACAGGATCGAGAGGTGAGCGAACGCCGGTATGTGTTCGCTCACCTCCCGATCTACTGAGCCGACCTGTGACAGTCTCATTGTCACAGGTCGGCTAGAACTATGAGGTGAGTGAAAAGCACCCGCCTCATAGTTCTCCTTTAAAAATTCATTCATTTTCCTTAACTAATAACAACAATGTATCTTATTTGTGTCTCACTCGGCTGTAGATCCTCCAATCATCTCTGAATTGGTGGTGACACTGTCCTTCCTTCTGGAGGGGGGCTACTTCTGTTCCCCATGGTCCCTGTGTGTGTTGTAAAGTGGCCCCTGTTACATTTGTCTATTCATTACTCGCTTTAAATCTCCATTTGTTACCTGTGTGCGACCCATCTGGCGGCTGGTGCCCAGAGATGGCCTCCTCCTGTGGTCCCCCACCCTCTTGGGAACCCCGTCCTTCTTCTTTTTCCATAAGAAAGTTTTTTGAATGCAAAAAGAAAAACCATAACGGTAATAAACAATCAATCTGTGAACTTGAGGTAACATCGGTGATGTCATGAGAAACATGTTGACAAAGGGATCCAGAGGGAGAATCTTAGAGCCCATTCACACCAGGGCGTTTGCGGATCAGCGCGGCTACCGCTTTGATCTTGCAAGGGAGGTTTCGGGAGTTTTTAATTGCGTTTCAGCACTGAAACGCAATTAAAAACGCCCAGAACCACGCTAATCAGCACGGTTCCATTGAAACCTGTATGGAAACCGCAATGATCAGCGCAGCAAAAATAGTGTAGGGAGCAATTCGGGCGGGGGGGGCGGTCGCATGAATGGTCTCCATAGCAATGTATGGGATGGTTCATGTCGGCGGATCCGTGCGGCGGAACCGCCCCGGTGTGAATAGGGTCTTAGAAAGGTACGTTAAAAAAAAAGCAACGATAGGGAAACTTCAGGGAGCAGGAACATTACAAATATTGTGTCATAGATCGTTTACGTTTTAAGAAAGCAGCAAAGTTTGGGGATAGAGGAGAACATTTTAATTATAAAAACATTGCTACAAGCTCCAGAATGCAAACACAAAGAAAAAAGAGAGAAATATTTAGAGAGATAAAAAACGAGATATGGATATCGGTAGCGAGCAAGGTCAGATATATATACACTGTACACGCTCAGGGGCCACATCAGACATAATCCTAATGTATGTGGGGATGGTCCGAAGATGAATCCAGCATGCCCATGTGAAAGTATGTTCAGACAATTTATAATGCACCATATGGATAAGTTCTTCCATTTCGTCACTTTTATCGATTCTCTGTCCTTCTTCTATGCGTGAACATCCAAGATTAGTGTTGTAAGCGTATCATTCAGAACAGTGCATGGTACTAGGGATGGACCGATACCGGTTTTTCGATATCGAGTATGAGTAATGAGAATTATCCTTGGGTACTCGCCAATACTGATACCGGTACTTCTGCTAGCATGGAGCTGGCTTCCTGGGCAATCAGGAAGCCCGGGCGGCGAGTCATTACCTGCCACTCGGCTTCCTGGTTGCCCAGGATATCGGCTCAATGCTGTTTGGCCGGTTCGATACTGAGTGGCCGGGAAGCCGGCTTCCCGACCAATCAGGAAGCCGGAAGACAGTTCATTCATTACCTACTACCCGGCTTCATGATTGCCCAGAAAGCCGACTCTATTCTGTTTGGCCGGCTCGATGCTAATTGGCTGGGGAGCCAGCTTCCCAGGCAATCAGCATCGAGCCGGCCAAACAGTATGGAGCTGGCTTCCCGGCCAATCATGAAGCTGGGAAGCCTGCTCCATGTTCCCTCTCGGCACTGCCGGTCAGAGGAAATCTCCCTCTGACCAGAAGTTCTGGTATCGGCGGTAAGTTTCAGAGCATTTGGGTGAGTACGAGTACTTGCCCAAATACTTGGTATCGGTGCATCCCTGAAGTTTACAATAATTGATGTATAATATATACTTACCCTTTTGACTCTTTTCTATAAAGCATCTCTAATTGAACATTTTCTTGCGGAAGAAGCCCCACCTGGGGCAAAACGCGTTGAGAAAAAGACCATTTTTGGAGTTATCTGCAGTGATATTGTACCTTGCCTATATTATTATTATTATTATTATTATTATTCTACATGATTTATATAGCAATAACAGTTTGTGCAGCCCTTTACATAATGTCTGGATGGATGTGGACCTTTGTAGAAGCAGACAATAATGCAGAGATGGTTTTGTACTTGCAATAGCTGCCAATGGTTTACTAAAGATGTCCTTAATCATGAAGCTGTACACTGATTTTATTGTTACATTGTGTATATAGCTGGACACAAAGATTTTACCTGGTAGAAATAAAATGTATCATTTTTAATATACATTGATTTTTTTTTTAAGCACCTTGAAAGTCCTGAGTTTAGTGTTGCTTTCAAAAGGACATTGACCGCTTCCCCTGATGAACAGAGAATTGTGTAAACACATTAAAATACATCTCAGTATGATCAGTCTCTTAAAAGCAGAAAAACCAAAACAAGCCTCCTTGTGACCGTCTGCGTGCGGTTGTCTCTCTTTTACCGTCCAGTCAATAACATAGATGGTGTTGTCATATAGGGATAATAATCCTCTGAGTCATGTCTGGTAAATGATTGTGTACAGTAGGGATGCACCGATGCCAAGTACCATACTCGGTACAATTATATGTATTGCGTAGACGTTGCCTCCATTCAGGCAAGCTCTAAGACTGTACATGCTAGAGTGAGCATTGATTTTGCCTGTACTGTAGCATCTCCAAAAACTGGAGACTTCCTCTGTAGGCTTGGTTTTGAGTAGGGATGCACCGATACCAAGTACAGTACTCGGTACAAGTACAAGTACAGATACTTTTCCGGGATTTGTTCATCTCTGTTATAATGTATGCTTTGTTTTATATAAATATATATAGGGGATGCGCTGATACTTTTTTTGCAAGTACAAGTACTGATACCAGTCCAAGTCCACACAGATACGAGTATGGATACATTTTTGTTTATTGTCATGTGACAGTTTTTCTAAAACAATACAGACTAATGATTTCAGGACAGTGGTGGAGCGCCAGAGCCCGGTCCCAGCTGCAACCGCTGCAACCCCGGTAGTTCTCATGAAAATGCAGAGTATCGGCACTGGTATCTGAACTAGTATCGATGCATCACTAGTGTACAGTATTTAGATGATTACATAGGAAGAGTACATCTCTGAATCTCTACTCGTTTCGCCTTCAAAGGCTCCTTCAGGAAACAGACGTACACAGGTATGTGATAGAACCACTCCAAACCACTCCCACTGTTCAGGTGGGAGCCACTGGACCACCAGGCGAGATGTGTACTGAGGCATATGTGGCTTGCGTTGGCTGTTTCTTTCCCCACCTAGACAGGGTGCCCTTTCCACCTCCTACCCCCGGGACTCGGTTTGGAGTGGTTCTATTACATACCTGATAAAAATGCGTTAATCACCAGCACACATGCGACCTTAAGAAGATGGTGGTGCTCGTAGTGAGGTCACGGATGGCGCCGTGCAAAACTTCCCAGTGAAAATGCGTTAATCACCAGCGCACACGTGAGAAGAACTTCAGTCTTCCTTCCTTTTATGAAAACGTCACATCGTGTCTCAAATACCATCAACGTTTCGGGGGCCACGCAGGGTCCCTTCATCAGGATGACACAGTGACCGTGATGTGACGTTTCAATAAAAGGAAGGAAGATTGAAGTTCTTTTCTCGTGTGTGCTAATGATTAACGCATTTTCACTTGGAAGTTTTACGCGGCACCATCCGTGACATCACTACGAGCGCCACCGTCTTCTTAAGGTCGCAACGCTGTATGGAGTGCAGGTGATCTATGGCATTACTATCACATACCTTTGTAGGCCTGAAGAAGCCTTTGAAGGCGAAACGTGTAGAGATTCAGAAATGCAATCCTTGAAATACTGTACACAATCGTTTATCCCTATATGACAACACCATCTATAGTATTGACTGGTCGGTGATAGAGAATCACACCCCCTGTGCCTCTCTATCACCGTCCAGTCAAAAATATATATTTTAACATATTAAAATTCATTTCGGTAAGTACAGTCTCTTAAAACGAAAAACGAAACAAGCCCCCCCCCCCCCCCGCTTTTTTTGTTGTTTTTTT